GTTGTTGTGTGTTAGTTTATTTTCAAGTATGTGATTTTCTTTCAAGTCAATGAAATTTAAGTTTTTATCAAATTAATTTGTTTATAATGATTTCTTTATATAAATTAAATATTAAAAAAAAGTAGTATGACAAATGTGGAAACCCACACCATGTAAATGACAAATTTTTGTTGTAATATGGCAAATAAGATGTGGCGCTTACGTGAACCATGACAAGTGTGATACAACGCCCTCTAGACCTATACATAAATTTCTCTTTCATGTTTATATATACACCAATCACATAATTCGCCAATTTCTCGATAATCACTTGTGTTGGTGTTTGTGTATGATACATACAACACACTTTCTCAAATTCTATGAATACATAAAGTAGATTCGCCATACTTTAAGTTTTATGTTTATGTTTATTTCATCTCTATTTGATTTATGTAACAAATAAAAATATTTTATACTGTTTTGATAACATTTGTTTTAACATTTATGTTTAGGTTTATTTCATCTCTATTTCTAGCCTTCTACAATTGGTTATTGTTCTAATGTTTCGGTTTTAATTCAATGATTATTGAATTGTTATATGATTTATTTATTTTTAGAAATTATGCATTCTAAGAAGCGGAAAAAGAGAAAGATATGAAGATTTAAAAAGTTCAAAGTGGGTCTTTAGATAAGTTTTTCCAAAAACAAAATAATAACCACAAGTTTTTTTTTTCAAAATCAAAATTATGATGAATTTTGGCTATAAATAAAAAAAATATTTAATTGCCTATTTATTGAATTTTCACACATGCCCCTAAAATCAACTAACCAACATGATAATAATAAACAACTACTTAAACAATAATTAAATACATGTTTTTTGAGACCTATGCTTAAATATGATATATACTCAACTTAAAATCATGTAAATGAATACTACTACCTCGAACCTCGATAGCTCCTGACTCAGTTTCCCTCAAGACTTATCCTTGCTTATTGAATATGAGATCATTACAGAAGAATACACACTTATACACCTTAGATGTGATAAACATAAAACTTTGCAATATCAGACACCTCGAAGGAACATTGTACCTCTTATTCTCGTAGGAACCATACTCTTGTTCCCAAAGGAATATTACACTTGTCCCCATATGAACCTTACTCTTATTCCCGAAAGAATCATACTCTTGTTCCTGTAGGAACCATACTTTTGTCCCCAATTGAACCGTCTATCTCTTATTCCCGGGGGAATACTAATCTTGTTCCCATAAGAACCATACTCTTGGTCCCGAAGGAACCATACTCTTGTCCCCAAAGGAATCATACTCTCATTCCTAAAGGAATCTCTATATCTTGTCCTAAAGGGGCTATACTCTTTAGTCTTCGAAGGAACATCTATCTTTTGTCCCCGAAGGAACCTCTATCTCTTTATCTTTATCTTTGTTATGTAACTCATCACATAACATTTTTCCTATGAACAATCTATAACTTCGTCTCATTAAGAGATCTTATAATCTTTCTATACTACTGCTTAACTAATTAAGTAATAATTCTTTATCTTTGTCTAGTATTTTGACATCCTTAATTTCACGGCGTGAAAATATCGATTTGTTTATGCTTTATTTGAAAATCAAAGTATATTTTTAAAGAAATATATTGTGGAATTTGTTCCCAGAAAACATGATAAATACATTATCAATACATTTCCGAAGGAATGTATTTTGTTTATATTAAAACTTTGGGATGTCATCGACAATACAGAAACACAAGCATACACATACCTTATTTACACTAGTGATTTACATCTCCTTTAATCTCTCAATGTAATGTAGCTTCGTGTCGATATCTGTGATACAAATAAACTGAGTGGGTCAAGTTGGGAAACCTGGTGAGTACATAGGAAGGCTATAACTTTTGCATACGAGCTTCGTTTTTGACGTTCTTTATATACACATGTGACATCCCCATTTTCACGGCCAGAAAAGACCAATTTGTTTATGCTTTATTTTCAAATTAGAGTAACTTTTTAAAGAAAAGTGTTGCGGAATTTGTTCCCAGAAAAACATGATAAATATGTTATCAAAGCCTTTGGGAAGAAATGTATTTTATTCATTTTAAAACTTTGGGATGTCATCGTCAATACAGAAACATAAGCATAAACACAACTTACATCAATTACACTAATGATCTACATCTCTTTAATCTCTCGGTGTAGTGTAGCTTTATATCAACACCTGTGATACAAATAAACTGAGTGGGTCAAGTTAGGAAACCTGGTGAGTATATAGGGTTTTCAACCCACAATAATGTAGTTATTATGTTTAAACATCAAACAATCAACCCAATTACCTATCCCCATTATTTTCGTCACTCTTAAGGATCTACCCTAAGAATCAGCTACTCTTTATTCATTCATTCCTAAGGATTGTCCTAAGGCGTAGGCACGAAGTCCATCATCGCCAGAGTTTATATAACATACACTAAATCTATAGTTGTCAGTGTTCATCCAACAGGCGCTAAGTCCATAGCTACCAGGTTTTATCTCATTTACTGTTAAGATCTGAAGAAAATACATATACTGTTAAGATCTGAAGAAAAAGTTTAGATCTGAAAAGAAAAATATATATACGGTTCAGATCTGAAGAAAAGAAGGTTAAATCTTTCATTTTGCACAGATCTCAAGTAAACAGATAATATGCACACATAGCACATTATTTATATAAAATATTTCATATCTATGTGTAATATTAAAGTGACTATGCACTCACTTGATAAAGTGGTGTTCCTCCTTCATAGCCTCCAGCTGGGCCTCTTGGATCTTCTCTAGAAGCGGAGTCACCACTGTCATCCTCAGACAGATGTCTTTGATCGGGGCTACGAATGCCTTGCGGCTAAGTGCATCGACCACTTACCACTACATTGGCCTTCCCCCGGGTGGTAGAGGATCACACAGTCGTAATCCTTCACCACATCTAACCACTGACGCGACCTTATGTTCACATTCGGTTGATCCATGAGGTACCTCAAGCTCTTGTGATCCGTGTAAATGGTACAACGGACCCCATAGAGGTAGTGTCGCCAAATCTTGAGAGCAAAAACAATTGCCCCCAACTCTAAGTTGTGCGTTGGGTAGTTCGCTTCGTGAGGCTTCAGCTGCCTCGAGGCGTAGGCAAGGACGCGCCCCCTTTGCATCAACACTGCGCCTAAACCCGAGATGGACACATCACAGTATACTATAAAATCCTCAATGTCGTCTAGTAGGGCTAAAATCGGCGCCTCGCACAACCTCTACCTCAACGTCTCGAACGTTGCCTGCTACTTAGGCCCCCAACGAAATACAATGACCTTCTTTGTTGATAATTACAAAGTTCCCAATTAAATTCGTAAAAAGTATTAGTATTGATAATTACAAATTAACGACATGATACATTTTGAATTCATTAATGTTGGATAGCAAAGCGAAATACTCCTCTGTCACAGACTGATAAGGTATACATTCATCCAAACCCTTCTCTAACAGATATAAAAGACATACACGAACCACATCCTCGTCCAGTAAGTCATTAAGCGAATTTTCAAACACATGAACCAACCGTTCTAATTTCACGGAGACATTCTTCTTAACCATAGGAAACACACGGGATCAAAAGGCGACGTCTGAAATGGATGTAGGAAAATATTCACCAAAGTGGAATCTGGTGAGAAGATAGAATTATTTCTTCCTAAAAGTCAACTCGTACCCTCCGATCTCAAAAACCATTTCCTCAACTTCACTTTGAGGGTCCGTCATAACTTTGTGGCAAACATGTAATGTGTAAGTAAAATATCCCCTTCTAACCCCCACAAGATTACCCAACCACCTTCCAAAATAGGTCTTTCGGAACATAATCTCGTGTGGTGGTATGTCTTCGAGTTCCACAAGAATTTCCGCAACAATTGCGGGTTTGCAAAATGGTGTAATTGATGCTTCAAAAATCTTGTCACCCTGCAAAAAGAAAACAAACAAAATAATTTTAAGGTAAATCATAAGTTAAATGGTGTTCCAAAACGAAATGTGATGAACATTCCAGACCTGTTCTTCACATTCCGGATTAGTTCCCCGCATTTCGGAAATTCCGAAGATGTTTGGATACCAAATTCCAATGTATAATACCCTAACATATATATAGGTAAACTACTCTTGGGTTGGTCTTAAATCTATTCCGAACTTGTTTTTCGTGCTTCAGACTAACGTAATACAATAATCTTAAAATCAAACTATTAAAAGTGTATGAGAGAAGGACATACCTACAAAATGACGATATACCCGTAAAACAACCAGATCATCAAGACCGCTTTCAATATCTTCTTTGGTTCTTAACTCAAAATGTGTGTCATAATTGGTTTGTAGTTACTTCTCCATAATGTGTCGAAATAAAAGTTGAAACCCGGTTTTGTAAATTTAGCTTTGGAACAAGTCGTATTAATGTCTTTGATGACCCGAATAGGGTACACAACCCAAAATTGACTCTGAAATGATCAATTCCGAATATGATAGTTAATTTTCAAAAACAAATTTATATTGGTTATTTTCTTTCTTAAATAAAAAAAAAGATTAGATTTCCCAAAAAATCTAATAATAATATTAACAAAATGAGAAAGCTGTAACTGCAGTTTGCTACGGTGGCAGTGGGGAACACCGCCCCCACCACTCCACTGCGGTTTGGTCGTATGCAACTAAATTTGGCCGCGTCTCTCTCCTCTCTCCTCACTCTCTTCTCCTACTATTTCTCTTCTATCTCTCTCTTCTTCCTTTCTTCTCCACCACATCCACCCTATGGTTTTACCACTCCCCAATCCTATATGGAATTGAGGTAGAGTGTTTTGTCATGGTAAAACCATGGCACCACTTCCTCCGACCTAAGAGATCTTCGTACTCTGTGTTCTAATCCAGTGAATTCCACTCCATTTGTTTTCGATTTTCTATCATCTTCTCTGCTCTCAGATTTGTATTTTACAGATATTAGTTCCTTAATTATGTCATTTTCATTCATCAAGATCAATGTTAACATCTTCATACACTCTTCATCTATCATTTCCTATATAGATCTTGTTACTTATGAACTTTGAAATTAAATTATCGATTTAGTTCGAGTTTTACGGTTTTTTCGCCCCAAATTCCCAACTCATACTCATATTCTTCTTATCAATCTTCAACCATCGAGCATTCACACAAAAACTGTTAAACCAAAAACATTTCTATTAATTACTTCCAATAATCCCGAAATCACTCGGTTTAAAACAAATTCCAAACATAAAATCTCATTATTTACTAAGAATTATTGAGATTCAAATCTCTGATATCTCCGAATCTGATAAGTGATGATAACTAATCAGATGGATTAACCTTCCCAGTTATGTTCACTGCATAAACAGCACTCCCATCTGGATTCATCAACCCCCAGTGTCTTTCAGTTGCAGGTCCATATTTCTGATTCTCATCATACATCGAAAATATAAAAGTTGGAATAACAGCCCCTGGTCTAGCTGGAGTTCCATTACTTGGAGTTGCAGACATTTTCCTTATCAAATTGTTGTTATACTCAGCTGCATTCTCTTTATTCGCTCCAAACTCATCTGAATCACCTTCATGTGGCCACCCAGTTTCCGCAATTGCAAGCATCACATCATCATATCCCAATTTCGCCATCGCATAAACAACCGAATCAAGCATTTGATCGAGTAAATCCGTGTACACCAATCCGCTTTGTGGATCCGTATACGTCATATTCCCACTTCTCAACAAAGCAAACCCAAGATCAATCCCCGTTTGATTATTCGCGCGACTTTCCGCCCACGCGAAATACGGATAAACATCCACAAAGAAGAAAGATCTTGTCCCGTTTAAGTACTTCAACAGTGGAATCATCAATTCCCGCATCTCCGGTTTGAAACTCCCGTTTGAAGGCGGAAACGTCGTTCCCATCATGTCCATTGCAAGTGGAGTTCCGACTTTGATGTTCCGAATCCCTTGTGATTTTATCGTGTTCTTGATACGTCTCATTGCGGGGACAAGATCTTTTGCGATTTGCATATCTTGAACTGTGTTTGTGGAGCTTAGGACTTCGTTTCCTACTAACACGAATCGGATTTTGGTACTAGGGTAGTGAGCTAAGACGTGTTCGTATACCCATTGATCTGCTAAATGTTGATTTGAAGCAATGGCGGAGATTTCGTCGTTAGCGACTGTGATTGCCACCTCGATGTTCTTCCCCGATAAAAGATGGAGGATTTCATGGTCAGCGTCGTACAGTTTGACTCTACCTGCGTTCATGCTTTGTAAAAGTTCGATTGATTTCGCAGGTGATGGAAGGTTGTTTCCTAGCCTTCCGTAGTTTATACCGATCCTGTTTAATATAGCAGCCCCTAAAAAAATTCAAAAAAAAAAAAAGGTTAGAATGAAAAACATAAAAGAAAAGTTAGAATTAATGTAAGGAATTGGTACTTGAGGAAGTAATGAGACATAGGAAAGTGAGGAAAAGAAGAGCCATTTTGGTGAATTTGTGATTTTGCATATGAAAGAATGCAAATGCAAATATCATTTGAGATGAGATGTGAAGAAGGGTGTAAGATGATGTATATATACATGAAGATATATGGTGTTAAAAGAAAGAGTAAAGAGTGATTGGTGAACCTCCTAAGGTTTGTGAGTTATTTGAGTGACAATCTTTGTGAGAGTTTGATTTAGAAATGATTGCATAATTTAGAATTGAGCAAGGTAAAGATTATGAGTCAGCCCCTTGATATATATATGTTAATAATTTGTATTTTGCAATGTTAGAATCAAAATTGAGACTTTTTTTTTCATTTGAGGTTTAAAGTTATATAACTTGGGTTGAGTTTACTACAATCAAGGTGGTTTAGTAAATTAGTGGTAGGTTAATCTCCAGAAAAGTTCCAAAATTTTAATCCAATTTATGAAAAAGTCCCAAAATAAATTTTATTTACAGAAAAGCATAGAATACCGGTTAAAACTTCGAAAAAACCCTTTTCGTCCGGTTTCGCAGATTTTGCCGGTACTCTGTCCTTTTTCGTTAGTTTGCTCAAAATTTTGGGACTTTTCCAAAAATTACATAATAACCAAAATATTAGGATTTTTTTGAAAATTACCATGAAATTAATGGATATTATTATTAACAAATCTTTTATAAATTACATAATAACCAAAATATTGGTGGCCTAAGTACTCCTCTATTGTTTCCTGACCACTCAAACTCTCTACGTTCTTCCTATGCATTGTTGTGGGTATGATGGTGAGATGAAGTTAGTTAGCATTCCTCTAATATTGGTGTTCTTCTTATGTTGTTTAACCTAACTACCAACCAACATTCATACCTTACATGTTAACAATCATCGGCTAACACACATCTATAAAATGTGAAAAATGAACCCTGAATGATAATTTATATGGAAACAAGTGAAGGGTCATTATCTATTTAAATTGTCATTCAAGGTTTACTTTTCACTCTCGATAGATGTGTGTAATTTTATGGTTGTTACCGGGTAATGTTTGGAGGTTAGGTGGTAGTTAGGTTAAAGAACATAATGAAAGATCTATATGTTCGTGTAATGATATTTTCTAATATATAACACATGATCATATAACATCATGCTTAATAGCAAGTAGACACTCATTGATTGTGTATTAATAAATATTATCAACTCTTGTATTGGTCACGCCTAATAGAGTATTTCTCACTATGACACCCACAACGATACATATGAAGAACATAGAGACTTTGAAGTGGTCAACAAACAATTGAGAAGTACATAGTCGACCATTCTATTTCTAGAAATTAACAACAAATGTATTTCCTTTGTTTATAATAAAAAAATATTTTTTATGTTTATAAATGATTTGTTAATAATAATATCCATTGATTCCATAGTAATTTTAAAAAAAGTCCCAATATTTTTGGTTATCGGGTAATTTTCAGAAAAGTCCTAATATTTTGAACAAACTAACGAAAAATGACAGAATACCGGCTAAATTTACGAAACCGGCCAAAAAGGGTTTTTTCGAAGTTTTAGCCGGTATTTTGTGCTTTTCTATAAACAAAAATTAGTTTGAGACTTTTTCATAAATTGGACTAAAATTTTAGGACTTTTCTGGAGATTTCCCATTAGTGGTAATCCGTTGGAATTAAGTCATGTATAAATCAACTTTTAGCTTTTAGATGGTCTGTCGTTAATAAAAAAAATGTTTTTGTTAATTTATTTTATTGTGTGGTTTAAACATGAATATAAATGTTATTGAATTTCATTGAGCAACATGAGAATGAAAGAGGTGATCAAGTAGAGTAAACTATGGTATAGTAAATAGAGCAAAAAGTTGGTAAGATTATGGTCTAGAAAAACTGAAAAAGTGCATCTTTTGTGATCCTTAAAATGTATATTTTAAATAATTGAATGGCGATGAAAGTTTTTGTCAAATATTGACACTCAAATATTGTCCAAATTTATAGATTTCACCATTTATCTATTTTGTTCATTTACATGGGGACTAAATGACCAAATTAAAATCAACAAGCTATGTATGTATGCTATTTTTAATGATGAGCGAACATCAAACACGTTGCATCATGTTTTATCCTACCATGTATATAAATGAGACTTTGTAACTTGTTATTGCTAGGTCTGACAATCGGATTGGTGGGTTGGTGGGTCACGGGTTGACGAGTTTGAAACCTCAACCCAACCCAACCTATATAACCTGTTTAAGTATATGGGTTCGCGGGTTCATAGGTTAGTGAATCGAACCCAACTCGTATAACTTGTTTAATAAATAAGCAACATATTTTCAGAAAATAAGGTTTTTTCAAAATAAAATCATAAAGTGATTAAAGTCATTAACATAAAAAAAAAAAAAAGAAGAGGTTTTCAATGTAAAGTAATAAAGATATTAACATCCAAATAAAATTGAAAAATGAAAACATTCAAATAAAATGCAATTGTTCAAAAATATCCAAAAACCATTTCGGTAATTCATTCATGCTAGAATTCCCATTTCTTCCTCCAACACCGACTTTTTCATGTCTTCATGATGATCTTCAAATAGAAACACTATGTAAAATTAAATTTATGATCTTTTGAAAGTTACATATATAATTTTATGTCTTCTACTATTTGAACTAAAAAGAACTCACCGAACCGTGACTTAAAGTATGTTGGAATTTATAACCTCTATATTGTCTTCCTTTTTGTTTAAATTCATTACATTTTGAGATACGTTGTCAACAACCACATTCAAGTCAATTGCATAATGAATAGAAAAAAAAAAACATAATTAATACAATGATATGTTCTTCGTCTGTGACTCGTAAGTATGTGTGTTTTCTTTTTTGCTTATGGCACCGCAAAAAACTAGCCACACGATTATACAAATATGGAAGACGTAGGAATACAATGATACAGAATATTACAGAAGGAAATAATATCTTATTAATAATTAAATATGTCTATTTTTTAAAATGTAATATATATATATATATATATATATATATATATATAAGAGTTGGCGGGTTGATTCACGAATCCAAACAGATAACTCACCCTAACCCATAAAATAAACAGGTTGACGGGTCGGTGGGGTTGCGGGTCAAAATCTCAATCCAAACATGTCTATTTTCGGGTTGGTACTTGATACAATGACGGGTTAGAGGCTGGGTCGAGAGTTGCCAAAAAATTAAGTTTGAAGACACGGTAAAAAGGGACTTAAGATTGAAGTCAATATGACAAAAAATTTCATTTTTTTAAATGATTATTAACATTGAATTTTTATCCTATAAAACTTTGACCTAATTAGTTAGGTTAACATCAAGGCTAGGAGCCTAGTAATGAGTATATTGTATACTATATGAGACGGGACAATGTACTATCTTTTTGTACTGTGCGGTTGTACTATGTGGTTACTAAACCAGAAACACCACCCCCTCGGTGCGATTTGGCGAGGGTGGTTCCCCTTTAATGTTCCTTCTCTCTTTTCTCTAGAAAAATATATACACACACATACACACGTGGCTTCATGAATTTTAGAAGTCGCGAAGCGCTTTGCAAAAAACCCCAAATCTTAAACTTTTAAATAAATCCATGAATTTAACTTATACTTACAAAATGGCCGTTGCAAAGTGGAGTGCAATCTAAGAGGTCAAGAAATTTGAATTCGGTCGACGATGCACGACTCACATAAACCTTCACGGCGACGTTGATGCAATTTCAAATAACATCGAAGAGATCTCTTGTTATCGACAACCGGGAGGACGTGACAAAGCAAAGCGCATGGTAAAACATTCGGAAGAAAGTGAAATGAAAGCGAAGCATATGACAAAAATCGAAGCGTTATTCCAGGAACACATAATACTGCAACAAGAAAATATTATTTTGAGACGTGAGTACTTGGAAATATTTCAACAACAAGAAACGACAGATCGAGAGCGACAAGAGCGAAAAGACCTCATAAATTACTTTACAATTCTTAGTACAATCACCGAAGATTTGGCGCCCAAAAATCTTGAAGTAGTGCAAGCGTTGAAGGCAAACACCGGCAAAAGCATTAACGAAATAAATTTAAATTGCTAGGATCGTTGTATGTTTTTAATTTATCGTAACTTTTCTTTTGTCTTATAATGTTTTTGTTTTCAATTTAAATGTTATGTTTTTATTTAAATGATTGGTTTTATAAAATTATATAATTTATTTTTATAATTAATGATAAAATGAAAAAAAAATAGAGAAACTAAAAAAAATGATTATGCTATGGTGTGGTAGGGTATTCTTTTTAATGATGTGTTGAAGGTGCCATATAATGAGTAAAAAATTTGTTGTGAAGGGGGTGAAGATATATACCCGAAGGCTAAATCCTAAAAAAAAAAAAGATTATGGTGTGGTGGGGATTCTGTTAAGTCTCCTCATAAGAGTGGGCTTCCTCAAACTCTACATATGGGCTGTTATACTCAGCTGGACACTTTAAAAGAAAAAAGTAATAACATTATTTAGGTTTCACACATCATCCAAAGTCATGAACAAGTTCCTCACGTCAATACATAATATTGACATATAATACCAGTTGAAAGAAATTCCATCAACAATTATTCACACTTAGCATAAATATGAACCCCTTTCTGTGCATAAACGTAGTTCACACAATTTGCAAAAAATAATCAAGCAAACTCGCAAAAAAGCATCAAGGCTGGGTAGGTTTACGCAAATAATTTTGGACAAGTCTCATAGAACACTCACAAATTTACTTTTGTTAAACTAAAATATATCAACTTTGACCACTATATTGCATAGCCATATAAGATGTTGTTGTTGTTGTTGTTTTTTTTACAAGGAGTCAAGGAACATAGAGGTGGTGGTAGTCCAAATTTATTAACCTTCGATGATTACTTAAATCATTTTCCCAATCACCTGTACAAATAAGAATACTTTCAAGTAAAAAAAAATTTCGTCAACTCTTTATCTTGTAGGAATCTTCTACGAATTTTGTACTTGGCATCTGTGAGATTATTTTCTTTACTACTTTGAAAATCATAAATATTCTCACATTTCATTT